AAGAAGCAAGCAAGCAAAAAAAAAGTCACACCTTAGTCTCACATTGAGCTATTCAATTATTAGGCAGAAAATCTTTGGTTGCCTCCCCCCTATAATGGCATTTAGCGGGATATGAACAAAAAAAAAGCCCTGCTGTACTTATCTCTGTTTACCACAGTCTATCTCCCTATATACACTCAACCACCAGATAAAAATAGCAGTGAAACTAAAGACATTTTATGCCACCGATTTGATGGGGACAGAATTTCTTTTTTTTTTCACCTTTCGTAGACAGCAGATATATCAACACACTATATGTTTGATCTCTCACTTAATAGCAGAATTAAAACTTCCTAGAAAAGTTACCTAGAGCAGACCCTACCAGGAATATTCCTCATGGCAGATAAGCAACAGATCAAACAACATCTAGGCATTGTATTATATACCTGAGGAAGCTAAAGTAGACATAAGGGGCATCATACTAAACAACATTTCCTGTTACAATTCAAACACTCACAGTGATTAGAGAAGGAATACTGGTGGGTTCCCAAGTTTTAGGCTATCTTTATGGTGTAAGCAGTTCACAGTTTTTACTCTCATTAAGCACTGTTTAGATCTTGGCCTGTAACATTGTCTAGACATGAAGAAGGCACTCTACTTGCTAATGAAACGGAGAAACTCATTTTGACATTTAATGTGTCATATCTATTTTATTTATAATCTCTAAACAGTAATGAGACATCTCCTTTGTAAAATAGGATTAAACAGATCTGTAAACTGCTACATAGAACTCTGGTGAATTTGATTTGTGAAGGAAATGAAGGTTTCTCTTTTTCATGACTTAAACAAGAACTCTTCCAAGAGGCTCTTAAAGGGGAGAGGTGGCAGGCAGCCTCCTCACAAGTGATGACAGCAGCCCCTAAATCAAGTGTCACACAGCTTCAAACCCTAAGGAGTCATCAGTCATGCTTGCAGGAGGGAAAGGAGCAGCCTCCTTCCTTGAGATCAATGAGGCAAACACAGAATACTCCTTCTGCACTCCTAAGGATGATTGATGACTCCTTAGCAGCTGAAGTGTGTGACATTTGATTTCACTCACTGATAAGATTGTGTCTTCCAAACACCTTCTAGTTAATGCTTCCAGGGCCCCCACATAGCTGTTCTTTGTGACATTTTTTAACACAAAGCTCAATTGTTCAATGATTAATGAATTTCTCAACAACAGATGAAAATTTTATAAGAGAATTTTGTAACTGTGTCCCTTGATAGTCTGATCACAACACAAAACAGGAATCTAGGCTCCTTAAGAAAACTGATGGGAGATCTCCTGCCCCTGCCCCTGTCAAATGACACTTGCAGGCAAAACAATCCTAAAAAAGAACTATCTTTTTTTTCCTGAAGAATTTAAAATATACACTTGAGATCTGCTTATCAGAAAACCTAATGCATTTATTGATATTGATTAAAAGTATTTTCCAAAATTTTAATAAGCAGATTTCCACAAGGTTATCAATTTCCACAGACTTAAAATGTGCTTTACAGCTTTCTTATTTTTCTTACAGCACCATATTCTTATTCAGTTATTTCCTATTTTGAAATGATGCAATCAGCGTGATTTGAAACTATGCTTTGTAACTCCAAGGTACACTTGCTTATAGGTTTTAAAGTATGCCAGCTTTATATTGCATCCTGTTGTATCACAGGCCATGTTACATAAACTTTTTAGTATCACTTAAATCTCACAGCACTATTTATATTCATTTTTGTGGTTTTGCCCATTTTTTTGCTTTTAAGAGTGATATTGAATTAAATGCTTTAAGCAGATGTATTTTTAACTCTCATGAAATGAATAACATTTTTTGATCCTGATTTTCTAAGTTTTGGCTGGATTCTCCTCAATGCCTTTGGAAGTTTTAGCACTTTGCACAAAAGTCATGAGGTTTTGATAAATACAAGTCTGTCAGAAAATCCATTGAAAAAGAGAGAAACTGTACTGGTTGACAATCCCATCTTACTCTGTAAGTTTATTTGTCAAAAAACATACTGGTAAATAGAGGAGGAAAACTGCAGTACAATCCAGAAAAAGATGATGACTGTGGCTCTCCCACCCCTTCAGAATGAATGACTGGAACAGAATGGCAGCACTGTCAAAGAAAAACGCTCCACATAACCTTCATCACTTTGCCAAAACCAGCCCACCAGAAGAAATCAAAGAGAAATTCCAAGTGTGGACTTGCCAAATGAATCTTTCATCTAAATTTTGAAACAAAGACATTGCTCTTGCCAAACATTGCTAAGCTTTGCCAAGGCCTCACGTGAAAAATCAAGAACTCTGACTATTTGGAATTCAAATTCAATGTAAAACTTGGGCTTACTCCCAATTAATGCAAATGAGACACTGCACACTACTTGAAGGTCTTTAAATTAAAAATGATCCTGATGTAGAACCATGCCAAATTAAGTCAGCAATGATGAAATTATAAAAAAATGGTGTTATGAACTGTCCTGGCACTTAAAGACATGATGAAGTCTCCATAACACTTGGAAACCTTGTTATTATGAGAACACTCTTTTTAAGTCAACATCTTATTTCTAAAATGTTACACTCTCAAGGAATTTAAAATGCTCTCTTTTAATGGCATACAAAATTAAAAAATATATTTATGTTGAAAAACATACATTAAAAAAACTATTACCATAATGACAAATTTCTAATGCTGACATACTTTCATGTCACACACACACACAAACACAAAAAGGACATTTTGGATAAAAATATTCCATTTATAATATAACCTTATTATATTTACTTATATTTTTTTTCAGTAAAAAACTGGAACAGCTTTTCTTTCTAAAACTGACACACAATTACTTTACATTTTCTCTCATGGTTTATTACAAGATAAACTAAAATAACACTCAAAGGATGCCCTTAGCAATACTGTTGCTAAGGGCAGTGAAGCTGGCAGGTAAACCTGGGTTGGCAGGGGCTTGTTTTCCAATTGAAAGTGTACTGCCTCAAATACTTGTGCATATTCTATGAGTACTATCCAGCCCAAGGAACACTTTTCATGTTCCCCCTAAGAGAACACATATTTTAAATTTATATGTATTTTAACCTGTATTTTAAGATTTTTTTAAGGGTACATTTGCTCAACAATTAACCACAGTTCCAGCAGAAAGAACTTCTTTATGTGATAACTGATAATTCCCAAATTCCTTTCCCTACCACTTTCATTAGATTACAAGAAAATTAAATTCTTCAAGGAAAATTATGTCCTGAAACAGCCCGACAGGTTTCACTTAAAACTCAATTCATACACAGATATGGGTTTGTGCATTGCTTTTTCCTTCTCTCTTGTTACTCTCCAACACAGCCAACCCCTTAAATTACTAGGATAAATATTTAAACAGCATTTTCATTAGAACAACTTATCAGCTGGAAGAGAGAGATCTTACTGGTGTGTTCTCTGAAAGCACTGAGCACTTGTGCTCAGAAATATCTACTAGACTTCAAATAACCTATAGGGAAGAGAGCATTTATGAATACTCAAACTAGGAGAATTCATGATGGAAGGGCATGGATGATGGAAGGGAATTAATGATGCCATGTGAAGGATGGGTGGCAAGAGAAGCTTATCTTCTCATTGCTAAATATGTGCAAGTGCCCAGATTACCTGTGTAACACATAAATGCAGAGAAATACAAACATTTCCCAGAAACAGCCAGGGTGCACAGAAAGAGAAAAAACCAGAGAAGACTCTTGGAAACCTGCCTGATTTCCTGTGAGCACCCAGGCCACATGCTTGGCAACCTCACAGGGATTCCCAACTTGCATCACTGTGAGTCTCAAGCACTTCTCTCCCTCTGGGAATGAGGGACTGTTTCTTGAAGAAGCAGTGATTTTCCCAATCTGCACTCATGAAATGACCAGACTGTTTTGAACTGGAACTCCTTTCTTTGTCCAAACATTTCAAAAATCAGGGACATTTTCTGACCCAGCACACACCTTCAATTACACCAAAATTTAACATTAAATGGTCCACACTTCACCACTCACTCCTATTGTTTAGAAAATTTTAATTCTGGCATTCCCTAAATTCTAAATTTGAAACCTATAAAAAGGATTATGCATTTAGAAAAATTGCAATTCTGCAGTCTTGCACATTTCTTAAATGTTTTTATTCTTATTAGAATAAATGTCTAGTTAAAACGAAGAAAAAATGTTAAACTAAATATTAAACTAACTTTCCACCTATGTATTATAGCTAAAAAAAAGAATTATAGGTTTTCATCCTCCATTTGGATCCATTAGTAAAGAAGAGTTCCTCTTATTGTTCTCACTTATATTTACTGAAAATGGAATGTCTCAAATGAATTCCATTTTAGAATTGCATTGAGAGCATGCTCTAATTAACACAGATGGGGTTTTTTTTCCACTTTTCCTGACCTCTCCTATCCAAAAGTTTCCTTGCATCCTGCAGTTTACCCAAGTCCTTCTCCTTATCCAGTGAAACCAATCTGAAATCCAAGATTTAATTCAAGCAAATGAAGTGGTACCACACCACTTGTCTATCACATTGTCTACTTCCCCACAGGACCCAAAATCCTCCAGATTTCAGATTTCCTCCATTATGAACATTCACATTCAAATCCATGCCTTTCCTTAAAATGATCAACACAGTCTCTGCCATATCCTCCTCAGCTCTATGAAGCATCTTTTTGCCTTATCAATAAATCTTTTCCTCTAAACTGAGTCTAAATTCAAACACATTCAGAGATGTCTCAGTGCATTTTGGTTCCTCATCAGGACTGTTGCACATCTCCCACAAGTCTTTTAAGTTTTCGATATGGCTGATTTTGATAAACCCAGAATTGGCCAATTCCAAATTACAAATGAAGTCTTAAAAGTCTCTTTTGCCAGAAGCTGTAAGATATTTTCTAAATTAAATTTTAAAAAATTAAAAAAACCCCTTAAATTCATGTTCAAATCACAAAATAGACAGCTATTATTTGCTCACCTGAAATATCTGTTTCAAGGAAAAAAGTGCCCGTCTCAGCTCCCGTCCACTGGAATTGTAAAGTTTTTCTGGGAAAACAAAATAAGACAACAGAAAAAACTTCAACATAAACAAAACTGACAACACAACAAGAATGTAGTACAGTTTTTGAAAGAATCATACATCCACTTCCCATTAGGCACACTTCTCTTAAAAAAATTAGTTTTTTAAAATATAGATGCAGGACTTATTCATTAAATGCATATAAACCAGGATTTAGTTGTCTATAACTTAAGATGGCATCTTCCAGGTAAATTCAAAATAGGTCACAGGATCCATGAGAAACAATTGTCTCTGGAGTTTTTGAAAATGCTGAGAAATACTGTTCTTTCTGCATTAGGTAAATTTAGGGTTTACTGAAAGTACCAGATTAATCTCAAAAGACTTGTCTGAGACCACTCTTTGCCTTTGTTATCAAAGCTAGAGCCACTGAATCCCATCCTTGACTGCCTTCCCTCTAGACATTCTTTTCTCATGTTCTCATCTTTCTATTGTTAAATCCTTTCTCCAATAGCAATGAACATTAATACCAGAAATAGTCGGACAGTCTGTTCTTAGCATAATTCAAAACAGTGTTTTATTCTCCTGAAAACTGATCTTGACCTTTTTCTAAATGAACCAGAAGCCTTATTTTCATCATCCAATACTGAAATGTATTACTTCATTTATTCCCCTACTAATGCATTCTCACAGAAATAATTTAAAGACAAAAGCAACTCTGCTATCCTTCTGAACCCTGCTACAATGTTTGTGCCTTTGGAAGAAGTCTTGGACTGTGCCTCTCAAGTCTGTTGTTGCAAATTTGTGACTGTGCAGGGATGAAGCAGAAGGTGAGCTCTTCAAACCTTCCTGGTCTACTATGCTTGGTGTATTTGATAGAAAGAGACTTTATACAACACATCTACAGTCCTAAATTTAATTTTATTACACTACTGTAATCCAAGAGCAATGACAAAGGAAAATCAAATCTTTATGGTCACCTCAGATGACACACTAGCCTCATCCACAAATCATCATGAAAGCACCCTCTCTGCAATCGACACAATAGTGGCCTGTAGTGGCCAGTAGGTCTTGAGATCAAAGCTGGAATGCCCATGGAATGATAATAATCTTATGAGAAAATTAAATATCAAATCCCAACATTTTATATCTTACTTTCTCTTGTCTATTTCTCTTCCAATTACTACTTTACACTACAAAACCAAATTCAATTTTATTTCCCTCTGTCAGGAAGTTCCAAAAAAGAGACTAGCACTTGAGGGTTCAATGCATTTATAAGTCAGAGATCATTTTTTACTTCAATCAAGGAAGGTGGGGTCTAATTTTAGAAAAAAAACATTTCTTATTCCAACAGTCATCTTCAACCAAAAGGAAAATACGAAGCAAAATGTCAGCAGAACTAACACTATTTTTTTTAAACATTGAAAGTAGTTTTGTTCATCCCTAATTGCCTCTGATTTCAAAGGCAGAATGTACAGAACTGGCAAAACTATTGTTTTTACAAGTTGTCTCCTTTCTTGCACTTCTATAGATTCTTGACGAAACATTGGAGAAACAGATTTCACTTCAAGCTATAAACTTAGAGGCACACTTTAATTACTCTCACTTAAAAACGCACTGGCATGTGGGACCACATTTCTTGGCAGGATAAAGAGTAATTTTGTCAGGAAAGCCTAAAGAATAATAAAGATCTTCTAAGACCCGGTCTGTCAACTTTACATGCCACATTACACAAAATATTTCTTTTTGAAAGTTACCTCCATCTGGCATTTGTTATTACTAATTTCCCTCTATTCATAATTCACCAGCATCATTATGAGCAGAATGTCTCCAAACAAGGCAGTGCATTATCATCTTAATTAAGAGAGGCACCACTTCTTAAAGTCCTGGCAACTTTGTACATAAATATCAATGTCCTAACAAATGCCATCTGTTGGTCTTGGTCTTGAACAGAAATCATCATCCCAGCCTGGGGTGAAGTCCTAACAAACCATTGTTATGATACCATAACACTGGTTGTTTCGTTGGTGCATGAAGATTTTTGGTACATTTCAGAGGAACAATGCTGAACATTTTTTCTCCTTGGTGTTTTCACAGAGCATAACCTCATCGTTGGCAGTCAGCACAAACAATGCTCTCCCTGCTCGTCTGCAGCAAGGAGGACAGAAGTTACTGACTGCAGCTCAAAAAGGGCTCTATGGATAGAGCTAAGAACCAGCAACTACTGCAAGTATCAAGTATGACAACAGTAGTGGCACGTGTCACAAATGTTTGAGGTGGGTTACAGATCCATCTGAGGAGTGACAGTCCAGATAAGTCATCTCACTTCTGACACCTTCTACCAGAGACAATGTACACTCGCAGGTACCTCCTCCCGCAGAGCTGCTCTTGTTCACCCAGCTCAAAGATACAAGTCCACAGCATCTTCACCTGTTACTCGTACACACAGACAACACAGTCTCTGCATAAGTCTTGACACCCACGTCTTACAGTGTTGGCAGCCACCAGAAACATTCACTGGCCATAACCCAAGGAGGAAAGTGAGGTGACCATGCTACATCAGATGTTTTGGTTTTGAAAACCTCAGCACAGGATGAACCTGACCCAGGGCAGGAAACTCCACGGACCCTTAAAAAAGCTTGTACTTGTATTGTGTGCGCTGTTTTTAATGTTACAGCTGGGGGACACTTGCTAAGATGTTCTCAAGGCCTTAGAGAATTCCTACTTGTTAACAGTAACTTCGGCACCCCAGGGACCTCAGACTCATCTTGAAATCTCCAGACTGCTAGTGAGGCTACAAAATTGCATCAGCAGAAACTGAAAGCAGAAATCAGTTCTGAGCTCTTTTCCTATGGCAGAAAAACAAAATTTAAGAAAAAAAAAAAAAAAGAGAGTGAGAGGAAAAACCACAATTGCTTACAATGTTTTCACACTGCAGATGATTCAGAAACTACATAGCAAATGCTTTTTAATGCTTGTTTGACATAAGCAGTTTAAAGTGTTGCCCTATGAAGCAGACTGAGAAATAACTTTCCACGTTACAGCACAGAGGTGACTAATTCCCACAGTACCTCCCTGGAAGAGCTGTCTGTAACTGAAACAAATTATGCCTACAGCTTTGAAACAGGAGTCTAGACAGCCGCCATCACCAAACCCAGAAAATTCTGAGGTTCTCCATGGACAGCCCAAAAGATTCACAAGTTTACTGCTTTGTTATAAGGTGTCTGATAAGCTTGAATGTGTACACCAAGACTGATTTACACCAGAAAACAAACCTCTGTATTTCAAGCAGGAACATGTGCTGCTACATTCATATACTTCAAGGTAAGATAAAACAGGTCAGTGAGTTCATAGGTCAGGGAGTTTGTGATACCTGACACTGTTAATGATGGTGGCTTTGACAGCCGTGTCCTGCTGATAAGTGACACTATTACAGCCACTTTTACTACCTTTCTTCAAGAAATAAAGAGCTGCATCTGTGGCTGTGAAATATTTTTAATTGCATATACACAGATGACAAAAAATTCTCCTTGTGGCTCCCTCTGACGTTAGCTAACACTAGAGGGCACTGCTTATTTCCTTATTCTATGAAAGAAAAGGCACTCTGCCCCTCCATGGGCTTCCCACTGATAGAGCAGCACTGTTTGGGATGCAGAGTTGATACTCCATTTACTGGGAAACCCTGTTTTTAATCTGTAGACTGTAAGATCTGAAGAAATTGAAAAGCATCAGCTCTGCCGATCTCAAACATTCAAAATCAGAGTCAACTCTTTTGAAACTGATAGAAAACCAGGTACTGGTATGGGCCTGTGTTTTATTTACTGCAAGAACGAAGAGTCACATCTCCTAAATTATCCTTCACATCATAGCAGGGAGGTACATATCCTTGGAAGACAGAGAGATTTCCTTAGCTCAGCACTTGTTTCTAGAGGCGGAGAATCACAGATAACCAGTCTTGTGGTAGACCAGACATGTGGGACAGGTAGCAACCTGCAAGGGGCTATTTTGGTTGCTGTTGCAACTTGCAACAGCAGAACTTTGGTTAAGAGAAGCCATTATGCTCTTAAAAAAAAAATATTGTTTGTTACTCTGTATTTTTTGCTTGTGTTTACTTCTGTGAAAAATAACTCAGGCTAAGTGAAAAGGGATTCCTATAGGTAAATTTGGTACAAATGTAGCAGTGGAGGGAAGGCAGATTGGTTTGAAATCAACATCTTTTCAGAAACAAAGTCTTTAAAGATATTTTATCAGACAACTTGCAGCTTTCAAATGGATTTTGTATTTTCAAAGATAATTGTCAGAGGCTCAAATTTCATTGGTTTTCACCTCTTTTGATTACGTGGGAAAAGGGACTTTTTAAAGAAAATAGTAATTTGTCCTTATATTCTTAAATAAAATATTGGCTTTTCTTCTGCCTTCTTTGAGGGGAAAAAAAGAGTGTTTTCAATCCACAGTAATAAAAGAAAAAGTGGGACTGGCTGAACATTGCTTGGTTCAGTCCCATGTGTTACACCTGACCTCTGACCGACAGGGTACCATCCTCCTCCCTTCCTCTTCCATCACACCCATTGAATTAGTCCCTGGGATATAGTAATTTATACAGCATCAGCCTTTGAGCTGTTGGCAAAGGCTTGTGAACATCTGGCTGAGCACAAATGGGAGTTGCTCTGCTTCACTTGCTGCTGCCTGAATGACCTCCATGTCTCCCATCCATGCCTCTTTTCTTTAAACTATAATTTCAAGATGAAGCTCCTTTCCTTACAAAAACATAAAAGGGAGATTAACTCCACATTTGATTACATTAGCAGGATACCTGGTGCAGATCCACTTAAATGACATTTGAAACATTTCCTGCCATTCATTTTTACCTGGCATTGGACAGAAGTAGCAACATTCTTCCAGTAGCCACTTACAAATTAGGCAGTACTTAGTTTTCTAAAAAATTTCTAAATTTTTTAGAAACTAAAAAACTTAATTCCTCTCCCTGCAACAAGTAGTAAAATATTATTTTAAATGCTCACTAGGACAA